GGCCCAGAGGCCCTGCGCGTTAAGGTCGTTAACCGCCCAGTGGTCTGAAGATATTAAATGAGTCCTGGACCCCACCACAGGGGATTGCGCCGTGTTGAACAACAGCTAGCCGGTACATAATATAAGTGCGCCGTGGGGTAAAAAAGATCATAAAAGGCAAAGCAAAGCATTACGACATAATACATATCTACCCACTATCATAATAGGGTTCAAATAAGGAATCAGAGTAAGGAGTAAGGAAACTCACCTATTCTAGGGAGGTCCCTGGCTGGAGAACGTGATGAGGTTCGGCTGGCTGCCCTCAGCACTGCTTTTGATGTCCAGGACAAAGACATCAGGAGGCGAAAAGGAGATCTCGATAGTGTGGACACCACGTTGAAGAGGTCCCATGTAGGCACGGGGGGGGGGGGGGGGGGGGGGGCATGAAACAAACATCCCCTGACTAGCTGGCTGAGAGCTTGATCTCTGACACAGAAGTTCAGTCCGGGAAGCCTTCATGAATAGCCGCTATGGACCGAACGGCACTTTTTAATTGTGGCCGAAGCGAGGTAACTTTCAAACAAGTACACCAGGAAATCTGCAACCTCCCCAACATAAGTACGGGGGGGGGGGGGGGGGGGGGGGGGGGGGATGCAGAGATCGGCTTCTACACAACTGTCGTAAAAATTGGCTGTCGTAAATTGTTCTGATTGATGCTCTTCAACAGTAGGCTGCAATAGCCGCAGCTTGTTGAGAATAGCCTGCCATGCGGAGGGATTGCATGACAGCACAGCACATCAGGTGAAGTTCCTGCGGAGCCAGTTGAAGAAAACCCGAGCTGGGCTACAACAAAATGTTTGCGCTCCATGGAAGTACCACTGCTAGTGAACCAGGAGTCTGGTTAACCTTGGGAACCACGGTTGGCGGGCCAGAAGGGAGCTATGAGGAGGACTTTGCAGTACTCCTGCTCAAGTTTGGCCAGTACCCGAGGGAAAGCAGTCCGTCCCACAGTATCGTCAATGCATCCGTCTGCCAGTCGCTGAGGTCGGAGAACCTTGCACAATAGACTGGTAATTGGTGATTGATCGAAGAAGCGAACAGGATCGAGGAGATGCGGTTGGTCGATCAGCAGGAAGAGTGATTGAGCGAGCGCAGCATTGTGGATGCATCAGAGCGACATGACATTGTGGCACATACACAGTTGGGCAGACCGCGTGCCCACTTGGTGGTTGATGCAGGCATGCAACTGCGAATTTAGGGGAAAAAAAGAGGAAATTCCAACCACACAAGACTTTCTACAGTGGTTTTCAATTTGTAATGGCATTCATGTGAATTAAAAAAGAGGAAATTAGCGGATCTAAGGAAAAGTTGCATGCATGATATGTTGCATGCATGATATGTTGCTGAAATGAATAAATCAATTAAGAAAGTCATTAACAAACGAAAGCATGTCCCACGAAAATATACCGAGCGGTAAAAAGTACGGCAGGCCGGCCGACCATGCGTGAGTGAAAGCTGTCTTTGACATAGACAACCGGCTGTGATACTGCTAGCTGCATGCCATGCTGCATGCATTCCCCATGGACCACACCATTAGTAGTAATAAAGGGGTGTACTTTCTTGGGAACAATAATTACCAATATTTTAGCTGTTTAAAAAAAAGAAAAAAGACAACTAATAATTTCAAGGAGTTTAAAACATTTCTTTATTCGATAATCACTTGTGCAACGTCACAATATATATTTTTTTTTTGAAATGTATTCAAGAAACGATGTACAACTCAGAACAGGGGATAAATCACCCCTTACGAAATTAATGGATTCGTCCACAAAAATGTCAGCATCGTTATGACTGTTTTCGAAGAAAGTTACGATCGAAACTTGAATTTTTGACGTTACTACTCATTAGTAATCACAACAGTTTGGTAAGTTTTGCTGTAAAAAGGGACCTTTTTATTCTTAGGACAAAACAAATCAGCATCTGTTGCCACAAAGCAAGAAATTGTAGCGCTCCAGTTAGACGACAAAAATGGTGGGTTGCATACTCTCTCAAGTGCTGTGGGAAAATGTCATTCGCCGGCACAGGCTGCCAGGCCATGCGCTAACTTTTAAGGCCGGGGACGTACGGGCCAGCCGGCAGCAATTCCTGGTGTTTATTTCTCATCATCAATTTCCATATTTGTTTGTAAGAGTATCGACTGTAAATGATTTGATATAACTTTTGTGGCCCTTTTTATAGCTTCTGTAGTGTAAATGGAACTGAATCAGAGCATTTTGACTAGAATTTGGAGGTCTTTCAACATGAAAACGCTGCGGTCGGTGCGGCTTATACGCTGGTGCGACTTATACGCCGACTTCAAATTAATTTGCAGATTTTGCGTGCTGCGGCTTATACGCCGCGCGGCTTATATTCTGAAAATTACGGTAAATAAGTTGAACACAATATGGAGATAGTTGCGGTGACTTCTGCTGTGAATTTCTTTGTTGATTTGTGTCTGTTCATCAATTACGAAACGGCCACAATTAAGTATGGACTAGCCTATAATTTACAAGATAAAAGCGGACAGAATAAAGTACATGTACATTATTCTAAGGCTTTGTAGAAGAACGAATTATGGCACCGTTTCCTCAGAGGACAGAACACATTATTTGTCACGCCGCTCTCAAGCGGATGGAACAAAGTATCTATAAGATTTCCCTGTCTCATGTTTATTCATATGACCTATCATTTCTGCAACAATAGCACCTGGTAGATCTGGATACGCCCGTGTGTGCACAGCCGTGCGGTTCACGAACTTTCTAGTAATCGACAACGCCAGACTCCCATAAGAACGGTTAGGACCAAACAGTAAGACGCCTTAGACTTCAGTGGTTTGCGGCGGGAGATAACAAAAGACGGTTTGTTTTTACTCTGTGCAGTCTTGGCCATGGGTTGGTGTTGGTGATCTTGTAAATGATCTTCCTTGAATTCCCACGCAAAAAGGTCTGTGCCCGTGAGAGGGATGGTCTCGAATCCTTTGCGGGCACCTGGCAATGGGAGAAAGGTCGAGGTCATCAGGGTCACCACTCGTGTAAACTGATCGAGCACCAAGCGAAGAGAGTGGTCTAGGCACTTAAGAGCAGCAGCAGTCAACTTGTCCGCCAGAACTGCCAAGTCATCCTCACAACCCAAGGCTAAATACTCTGTGAGGAGGAGTATAAAGAGGAGGCCAAATGCATGCCATGGCAGGAGGCCGAGTCCACTTTTTTTATAGTGTTCTCAAGCTTGCCACAAGTCCTATTTGTACAGGTCCCTTCATTCTCAGCAAGCTTGTTTTTCCCTGCGTAGGAGATGACAGGTGTGGTGACATTTGTTTCGTAATCTGCTGAGGAGAAATGAAAATAATCATATTCTCACTTGGAAAATGGTTGCCATTTGTCACAAGACATAATCTTGTGCATGCGATCCGCACACACCTGATTCAAAGGAGCATCGCGAACACCTTGTTGTTGTGCGTTGTTGAACCTGTCCTGATCTTGACGGATTTATGTTCATGCAGGCTGGGGGCTTCATCAGCGGAGGATAGCTTTAATACCCGAATCATGTCCCTTTGCACCAAAAGAGTTCTGATTCTGCAATGAACAGCTGCAGCATGTGGGCCACTTCCTCAGCGTAATCAGATGAACCACACGAATGGGAGGGCCAAACTGACTCCGGAGAACATGAGCCGTCTGGCACGCTTGGAGGGGCAAGCTGCACAGGGCCACGGGTCGTTGGCTGAGCAACATCCTCGGAGACAATAAACATAGATGGGTGTAAGCTCAGTGCAGGCGGAGATTCCGGAGCATGGCTTACCGTGCGCGATATGTCCCTTTTGTCCCCGAGCCACCCAACCGTGACCAATGACTGAGGGCATCGCAGCATGGCTGGCCAGGGGCCACCAAGGGTACCCGCCTGGTGGGTGGCAGACAGGGTCGACAATAAAGTCAAAATCCATTGAAAGGCTTGCAAAATATCAGCTGTATAGACTGAGTCCTCATCCTTGTAGCGTTTGTCTTGGTGGGGTCAGTTCAATGAGTCATGCAAGCTTGAAGAAGAACCGTTTGATCTTTGACCCGTCTATTCTTCATCTTCTTTCAAAAAGTGGCCCCGGGGTAAATCCGATGAAAATTCGGATAACGCTGGGCCAACATGAGCCCGGCCGACAGCACCTCAAGCCCTGAGCAATGCTGACCGGTCAGGTAGCCCGTACAAAAGTTCCGGCACCCCGTGGTGTTCATCACAGTGATGGGAGGACACCGGGATTCATGCCCCTGAACCGTGGAGGCTAGTCCCCACGGGCCTGCCCCGTATTCGGGGAAGGCATGGAGGGTGTAATGAAGCCCGTTCCAGAGCCATGTTTATACCGAGGACCCTCCTTAAGTTTGGTTCCGGCACAGGGGTTAAATTTTTGCTCAGTAACCTTGCTGAACCGAACCTTTCAATTGGTTGTTCCGTTTGTGCTGGCCGGAGACAGTTTCATGTCCCCTTCTCGGTCAACGGAACTGCCAGCGCCGGCAGCCAACTGTTGATGTGGGTGCCGGACAGTGGCGTAGCCACGGGGGGGGGGGGGGCAACAGCCCCCCATGAAACCTTGTCGCCCCCCCCCCAAGTCGCCCCCCCCCTGAGATTTTGAGTTTCTAAAAAAATTATCATTGATCTACATGACGCCCCCCATGAAATGTTCCAGCCCCCCCAGCGCCCCTTCACTGAAAAATTCCTGGCTACGCCACTGGTGCCGGATGGGAGACCGCTGACATGGTAATGGTTCCACGCTTCCAGAAGTGACTCCCTGGGTGAAGTTCCATTCCCCTAGTAGTGACAGCACCAGCTCTCTCCAAACTTTCATTATATAGCTATTCCATAATATAGCTAGAGGGGTGTTTTGAAAAACATGAAGTAATATTGTTGGACAAAATCATTGGAAATTTATAATTTTTGAAGTTTTTTGACTTTGATAGGAAACCTGCAAAACTGGTATTAGGTATTTGACTTTTTCTCACCTCCTGAAAGTGCCTCATGGCTTGGTAAAAACTCTCTCTGGTTGGCTGACTCTCTTCTGATGCTGACATAGAAGTTTTGTTGATTGTATCATCTGTTCCAAAGATTGCCACAGAGTCTCTTCTGTCTCCACAGGCAAAACGGATTGCCTGATTTAATAGAAATAAAGTTTTATTTACAATTTAGATCCACCTTACATGTACATTGTAAGAGTCCCAAACTATGATTTCTCTATACCAGTTTGTAGGTTTGGATTTTTAAACTTTACACTAGTGTGTGTATACATGTATGTATACATATTCATTCCACTGCACATCACCATTCGTTGGTGAAAAAAAAATGGGGCACTTAGGCCAAAAAAAAAAAGGCTCGGTTTCTGGTATGCGCCATTTGCAGTCATCAGCCGACATTTGAAGCCAAAAAAAAAAACAAAAACAAAACAGGTAAAAAAAAAAAAAAAAACGCGTCGCGTCGCCGCACCACTTTTGGGGCAAGCTCCATACCAGAAACCGGAGACTTTTTTTTTTTGGCCTTATCCACTGTTTCATCATTTAACAAATCTCACTGCCGGTATATCATCACCGTTTTCACGAAGGGACGGAAAGGCAGTCAAAGTAGGTCAACAGAGATTTTCGATTTCACGAAGGGACGGGCATCTTTGTTACATTCTCAGCTGTGCGCGCGTAATCGAACACGCGCGCCCTTCCCTATGGAAAAGCACATTAAACAAGAAGGGCGTAAATGTGGAAAAGTTGGATTTTGTTTACACGAAGGGACGGGCATCTTTGCTAATTAATTTGGCTAATCAACCACTGTTATAATTACTGGGTTCAAATTAAAGTTTACCTATCAAAGAATTACGTCAAGGTTTCCTTATTGCATAAAGTTGTTGCAAAGTAGCAGTTTTGCTGTTTTAAAAACGGGAGAAACTTTTCTTGCGATTATCTCGAAAAACAGTTTTCTTCAAAATCCACATTCCCGTCCCTTCGTGAAACCGGTGACGATATGTCCTCATCAAGCTATTTCTCATAATACTTGAGTTCCTTACTTGGTAATGTTTTTAACCTTTCAGCCTTACTTATTGACAAATATTTCAGTTTCTGATCCTATACACTACAAAATATATACACTGAAATACAAAATACATACACAGAAAGGAGAGATCAAGTTCTGTGAAATGACTTGCAGAATGGCATTTTGGCAATGTCGTGGTTCTGTAAATCTCTTACGTGCGGGTTTTTTTTTTCTAGACACACACATGCTACATGTAGCTCAAACAATTGGGGCTCCTGCAGTGCATGTCCAAATAAAGCTTACACTTTCCATTGGCTGGTGTTGCACACTACTCATGCATCATCATTTAGGTTCATATTGAGCTATGCGGGCACCACCAGATACCTCGAAAATGATATGTCAGTTTGTGCACAGAAACGGGTGTACTTTTGTAGGCCTATACTAGTATTATCCAAGTTTTGACGTCGTCACCGTCATGATTTTTGAAGGTTTTTTTAACAGATATGTTTGTGTCAAATCATGGTAAATTTCAAGAGTAGAAGTATGTAGTTCAAGAGTATGTTCATGGCAAACAATTGCAAATAGTGCTCATTTAAAATAATCAACAAGCAAAATGGCATTAAAAGTTTGAGGTCAGCAATTTGGTCCCAACAATTCCAGGTCGGTCAGGTTACCGTAAACACACCATTTTTTTCCGCCCAATTTAAACACAGCAAGTCAAGACAAAAATTTTAATCCATATTTTTTTCTCATTCTGTTTAGTAACATTTTGGATTTAGATTGGTTGCTTATTTCATTTATTCTTTTTATGTGGCAAGGCATCCACATCCACCAACTGAACTTACATTTCCTACTTCCAACACCACTATATTCTAACCTTCATTTTAATGAGTATATTACCTTGAACCATTCATCTCGATCCTTTTCGATGTCTGCCGCAGATGCACTGCCACTTGGAATGATTCGAAAACTATATCAACACAAAGGAAACTTTGATGAGTCCAGTAGAATAAACATAAGATGACTCATATACAACCAATGATTTATAGAAGTTGAAGTGAGACCAAAGACTACTTGGACAAAAAAGAGCTGTCACATGCACTAAAAAATCACTGACAACCCAAAACTTGTGATAACAGGATTTTTATGGTCACTTAATGTATGAATGCCAACTGCAACTACTTAGTTCAAACTACAACCCGGGGTTAATCAAGAATGTAAGCACCGTCAAATATAAGAATCTTCAATAATCGATCCAATATCGAGTATATTCTATTTATCGATTATCCCATGAATGAGTAAAGTCCATTAAAAAAACCCAAATGATATCAAAGAGATCTTGCATCTGTTATTAATTGTTGTTGTCCCCTGGTACTTTAATACTGTATGGTCGACGATAAGAGGGATTTCTTGTTTGCATGGGGGACGTATTAAGTCATGAACCCCAGACACGCGTCAGCCTCTGGCGACCCTCTGACCCTTAACTTGCATTTAGAAATCAGGATAACTTTCGTGGTAGATTTTTTGACTTAATAAATACAGTGCACTTTCTAGTCACAGTGTTGAAAAAAGAAATTCACTTTACACACCGAGATTAAAAGACGAGGCAAAAACTACCATCATCAGTTGCTTTATATCATTTCAATTAACTTATTCTCAGCAACAACAACAACAAAAATTCTATGACATTTTTGGTATTATGACATTTTATCATTAAATAATCAAATGCTTTATTCTCAGATTTTCTCTGGTTGGTGTCAATTTATTCATAGTAACCTATAGTATTTGCACCGCTGCTTTGTTCGGGCTCCAGAGTCTATAGGTTTAGTCTTAGATATGGGTTGAAAGATTTGTCGCTCCAAACTTAGACGATGAAACCTGTCCTTTCCCCGATATTTCGCCCCAAAGACCACCCATTCCTCACCCAAGCCTCATCTGGCAATGCGGCTGGGCTGCTTGCAGAGCTAGACTTTTCTAGACTTCCGCCAATTTATAACAAATGCTCTCTATAAGACCGTACATAGAATAATTATTTCAAACCGGCGCAGCGTGCCTGAAAAACGAGGTCGATCCGATTGTCACTTCTCATTAACCGATTTAAACAAACCTCGCAATGCGGCTGTGTGCAAATTGACAATATTGTGTCCCACAATGAATACTACGCAAATATGATTTTGACTAGTGCGGATCACTTGTCTGATATCCACCTAAAATTTGGTTTTATCAAAAGAATAACGAGAAAATCAACTCTTTTAGGGGAAACACAACGCGCACGCAAACACATCACCTGTAACATGCGTGCGAATAAATCACAATAAGTGTGTACATATGCTTGATTTGGCTATTTTCCGTACCATGCATTTATCGTCAGGGGGGCCACGTGCACCGATCTCTATTCAGGATCTACGGCACAGGAAACAGCCGTCGCATTTGCAACTCGCGCCCTCGCGCGCTCGACAAACAATTTGCATAAACGCGACGTCACGCTTGAGGTCATCTCTTGTCACATTCAAAATGGCTGCCACCACCAGACGTTTCACGAGTGCATATGGGCTCCAGAAAGATTGAAGAATATCTCGGAAAATGGAACATCATTAGACCTAAGCATCCCAGAAGTGACAGGTGAGACATCATAGAATACAACCATAAGAAAGTAAGAAACTGAGAATGTAAGAAACTGCCCTGAATTTTTATGAAAACTTCGTCCTCAGTAGCGCGCGGTACCACGGTGTGTGGCCAAAGGTTCAGCGCAGCATACCGATGGTCACACTAGTGGGGCTAGGGCCACCGTATGCAATAGAAATATCCTGCCAACATACCTTGCAAACGCATGCTGATTATCTTTCTGTCCGTTGTGATAAACTCAAACTCTATTACCAATTATTCCAACCATACTCTTATTAAATCCATGATTAAAAATCTCGCACTGATGGGTCTCATTCGGGCAATAAGCGACTGAAAGTGCTCAAGATCGTCACTGAAAAGTACTCACATACATGATACAGTACACACAACCACACATCCACGAGATGCACACAAATGACACACCATTGAAAAATATTTTAGTCTGGTCCTAAAGTACTCCACTGCGCACACTGCATTGATGTCTATCAGGTGCTTGACTGCATTCTTATTAGACCTGTCACCAGTCCATCCATTATCGCGACATTTCGCCAGAAGTTTTTGGTCAAAAACGATACTTTACAAGTATTTTTTTTCGTTAGGTAGAAAATGGGAAATTCGTAATGTTTTAGAGGCAAATCGTATTTTCGTTATTTAACAAACAATTCGTAATAATTACGAAAAAATCGTACTAGTTGGCAGCTATGCTTTGGTTTTACCTGGTTAACGCAGGCCTGTCCATCATTTTCTTCTTGCTATTATAAAGACTAATTTTCTTGTGGTTACGCCTTGCCACGCGAGTACACTTCTTGTCCCTTGGCAGCAAGAATGCGCTGCATGACTGTTGATTTATTATGCACAGGCTCCCGATCGCATATGTACGAAAGCCCATTAGCGCCACTGCAAGTATATATGTTACAGATTGTGTAATCGTCGTTATTACGGATTATTTAATTCGTTATTACGGATTACTAATTCGTTATAACGGATTATTTAATTCGTTATTACGGATTATTAATTCGTTATTACGGATTATTAATTCGTTATTACGGATTATTAATTCGTTATTACGGATTATTTAATTCGTTATTACGGATTATTTAATTCGTTATTACGGATTATTAATTCGTTATTACGAATTAGGTCTGATGTTCTCACACGTGGAGAGCACGTGACCAGGGGCCTGTGTATATAGGGCCGCTAGGCGGCGCTATCTTTGTATACAACGTTTGCACTCCTGTGCCATACTTGCCGAGTATGACTCAGAACGTATGAGTAATTCGTAATAACGAATTAATAATCCGTAATAACGAATTAAAATAATCCGTAATAACGAATTAGTAATCCGTATAACGAATTAGTAATCCGTAATAACGAATTAATAATCCGTAATAACGAATTAAATAATCCGTAATAACGAATTAATAATCCGTAATAACGAATTAGTAATCCGTAATAACGAATTAATAATCCGTAATAACGAATTAAATAATCCGCAACATAATACTTGCAGTGGCGCTAATGGGCTTTCGTACATATGAACTAAATGGTGATAATCTAAACTAAATGGTGAATATTCACCCTTCAGGGACCCGGACATTGTAGCTTTAGAACTCATGTCACATGACCAAAAACCATCGGGGCACAATTTATATCCATTGTTTTTTGTGTTTTTATTTTATGCTCGCCTCCACTTCTGCGATCTCCGGGGCTTTTTAAATGCTGGACACAAAGGCAAAGTAGCTCGTATTCAAACCATGGGGCCATGTCCCCTTTTTATGTATCCACTTCGTAGGGTCAACCTCTTTTCTATAGCATCTATTCTGTATCTACATCCTAGGGGTTCAACCCCCTTACCTACAGCATTCGCTGTAAACAACATCATATAGGGGGCAATCCCTTTCTGAACCAGTGCCTGTATCCACAACACATAGGGACCCGTCCCCTGCCATTCCATTGCCTTTATCCACATCATAGGGACCCATCCCTTATATCATCTGTATCAACATCACAGGGACCCATCCCCTTGTATATCATTGCCTATATCCAATGTATACAAATTTACTGATTTATGCTAATTGTCCATTTACAATTCTTGATTGATATGGAAACATTTACGTTACACTTCTTTACCACGTGTTCAAATCCATTTAAAAGTGAACCCGACTCGAAATTTACCACACACACCAATCATAAACCAGTGCAATCGAAAATGCATTATATATTAACCAATACTCTGAGTACTGGTACCAAAAACCAAGTTGTTAACCAAAACCACACAATGAAATTCGATTAAGAATACACCACAAACTTTTCACCAAAATTAAATGAATTTAACTTACTCTGCCACAAAGGCTGAGCTACACGCACCGCCAGGGCACAATCCAATTAATTTGCCACTATTAAAGGCAAATCTCACCATTTAATGTCACCAAGGCACCCCCATTTGCCACCAAGGGAAATCTCACCATTTATCAATGAAAACTCTATTCACTATTCTGACAAGTCTCACTAGTCTCCACATCAGAGGGGCCCGTTCCCTTCTATATCATCCCAGCATCTCAGTCGAGGGCTATCCGCCGACCAACAAACATGTCCCTCTTGTTTTTTTGTAGTTTCTTGTTCGTTTTTTGTTGTTGTTTTTTCTGTCGGGGCCTATCACCGACCAACAAACATTTTTTTTTTCTGTCACGGCCTATCCACAAAAACATGTCTTTTTTTCTCTCTCTCTGTCGGGGCCTAACCATCGACCAACAAACATGTCTCCTTTTTTGTTTCTCTCTGTCGGGGCCTATCCACCAACCAACAAACATGTCACTTTTTGTTTCTCTCTGTCGGGGCCTATCCACCGATCAATGTCGTGTTTTGTTTTGTTTTTGGTTTTTTCCCTCTCTCTGTCCGGGCCTATCCGCCGACCAACAAGCATGTTTTTTTTTGTATTTTCTTTTTCTGTCGGGGCCTATCCACCGACCAATAAACATGTTTTTTTTTCTTTTTTCTCTCTGTCGGGGCCTATCCACCAACCAACAAACATGTCTTTCTTTTTTGTGTCTTGTTTTTTTTATATCAGCCGTGCGGAGCACGCTGATATACTGTGATCGTCCCATTTCTTTCTTTCTTTCTTTCTTCGGGCAAGCAAACGGTCACGTGACCAATATAAAAATGGCCATAACTTCTTAACTATTCAGCCGATTTCAAACAAACTTGGCCAAATTAACCTTGTCACATGCCCTACTAGCCATGTTCGTAAAATCCGGCCACTGGTCATTAAAGGGGCACTAGAGGTCATTTAATGAATATTTACAAAATGCTTTTTTCCCCCAGTCTTGACCCAATTGATGTAAAACTTGGTCAGTTGTATATTTAGACCGAGCCTCACAAAAATTGTTCACAGAATTTGGCCAGTGGTCACCTATTGGTCAGTAGGGTCATTTTATGAAACAAAATTCAAAAACTGTTTTACATTTTAAATCTTGGCAGCCCTGTTCAGTGTATTTTTTTATCTCTAATTCTCAAATTTCATATTCATGACTTATTTGGTTGTCGAGTTATTTCAAGTTTTTCATTTTTCAAACGCATGTAAAAAGCAATATAAAAACATAGGAATTCTGGGAAGGTTTCAAACCACCACGATACTGTGGATTTGTGTGACATACAGTGGCATCTCCAAGGGGGGGCCAGGGGGGGGGCACGTGCCCCCCTGGAAAACCTAGTGCCCCCCCGAGTGCCCCCCCCCCCCCCCATCTGAGATTTGGGTTGGTAAAAAAAGTTCTGCGCGTTGTTAAAATCATTACCTCAAAACTAGCAATTTCTGGAGATATCTTCAGATCGAATTTAGCATCAAATGTGGCACCATTTTGCATCTAGCCCATCCTCCGTATGCGAAAATTTTCCAAAGGGGAGGGGGGCACCCCCTCCCTTAGACTCCTCCCCCAGGACGGCGATCCGTATCCACCTAAGTGCTCCCCCCCCCATCAAATGCTGGTGCCCCCCCTGTGCCCCCAGACTGAAAAGTCTGGTGACGCCACTGGTGACATACAGTGCCACACTCTCCACAGACTTTGCCCATAACCGCAGAAGTGGTGTCTGGATACTGCATTCCTTCGGTCTGTCATAGCATGCAGCTGTGCCACTGTGTAAAGACATGTGTTCAGCCGATACTCATGCCATGGATTAAAAAGTACGGAGGTCAATAAGTAACACTAATGCTGTGATTAATTTTTGAGTGTTTTAAGGATTAATTATACTGGCATTAACTACTGTTTCATGTATTGTCTTGACGGCGCTATTTATGTAATGTTTCGGCAGTCTTAATGTCAAATGTTCATAGTTGTTCCTCTTACATCCTTTTGCCGATCTCGGCCACATTTAGCGATGATCACCTTGTGTCTCAGTGCGAGTTAGTATTCAGACAAAACCGATAAAACGGCAATTTAGGCTGATATCTGTGCTTCGGGAAGCTCATTAGCTCTAGTGTTTCTCTCTGTCGGGGCCTATCCACCGATCTTTTCAGGCCGCCTTCACATCAGAGGGGCCATCCACCTCTATATCATAGCCTTTTTCACATCAGAGGGCCCATCCACCTCTATATCATAGCCTTTTTCACATCAGAGGGGCCGATCCACCTCTATATCATAGCCTTTTTCACATCAGAGGGGCCGATCCACCTCTATATCATAGCACTTTTTCACATCAGAGGGGCCCATCCAACCTATATATCATAGCCTTTTTCACATCAGAGGGGGCCCATCCACCTCTATATCATAGCCTTTTTCACATCAGAGGGGCCCATCCACCTCTATATCATAGCCTTTTTCACATCAGAGGGGCCCATCCACCTCTATATCATAGCCTTTTTTCACATCAGAGGGGCCCATCCACCTCTATATCATAGCCTTTTTCACATCAGAGGGCCCATCCACCTCTATATCATAGCCTTTTTCACATCAGAGGGCCCATCCACCTCTATATCATAGCCTTTTTCACATCAGAGGGGCCCATCCACCTCTATATCATAGCCTTTTTCACATCAGAGGGGCCCATCCACCTCTATATCATAGCCTTTTTCACATCAGAGGGGCCAATCCACCTCTATATCATAGCCTTTTTCACATCAGAGGGGCCCATCCACCTCTATATCATAGCCTGTTCACATCAGAGGGGCCCATCCACCTCTACAGCCTGTCCCCCCCCCCCCCCCCCCAAAAAAAATGCTGCAAGCAGAAACGGGCTCTGTGTCCTTGGAATATTGAAAAATGTTTCATGATGCTTATATTATGTTAAACCTGCGATATTCAGCTTTCAAA